TTCCCCACACTCCCGCCAGACACCCGCCAGACTCCCGCCAGACACCCGCCAGACCCCCGCCAGACCCCCGCCAGACTCCCACCAGACTCCCACCAGACTCTCCCCAGACTCCCACCAGACTCTCTCCTGACTCCCGCCAGACTCCCACCAGACTCTCCCCACACTCCCGCCAGACACCCGCCAGACACACACCAGACTCCCGCCAGACCCCCACCCCCCAGACCAGACTCCCACCAGACTCCCACCAGACTCTCCCCAGACTCCCGCCAGACACCCACCAGACACCCGCCAGACTCTCCCCTGACTCCCGCCAGACTCCCACCAGACTCTCCCCAGACTCCCGCCAGACACCCACCAGACACCCGCTAGACTTTCCCCTGACTCCCGCCAGACTCCCACCAGACTCTCCCCACACTCCCGCCAGACACCCGCCAGACACACACCAGACTCCCGCCAGACACCCGCCAGACCCCCGCCAGACTCCCACCAGACTCCCACCAGACTCTCCCCAGACTCCCGCCAGACACCCACCAGACACCCGCCAGACTCTCCCCTGACTCCCGCCAGACTCCCACCAGACTCTCCCCAGACTCCCGCCAGACACCCACCAGACACCCGCCAGACTCTCCCCTGACTCCCGCCAGACTCCCACCAGACTCTCCCCAGACTCCCGCCAGACTCCCGCCAGACTCCCGCCAGACACCCGCCAGACACCCGCCAGACTCCCACCAGACACCCGCCAGACTCCCACCAGACTCCCGCCAGACTCCCATCAGACTCCCATCAGACTCCCACCAGACTCTCCCCAGACTCCCCCAGACTCCCGCCAGACTCCCGCCAGACACCTGCCAGACACCCGCCAGACTCCCACCAGACACCCGCCAGACTCCCACCAGACTCCCCCAGACTCCCATCAGACTCCCACCAGACTCTACCCAGACTCCCGCCAGACACCCGCCAGACTCCCACCAGACTCTCCCCCACTCCCGCCAGACACCCCCCAGACTCCCGCCAGACACCCGCCAGACTCCCGCCAGACCCCCGCCAGACTCCCACCAGACTCCCACCAGACTCCCGCCAGACTCCCATCAGACTCCCATCAGACTCCCACCAGACTCTCCCCAGACTCCCGCCAGGCACCCACCAGACACCCGCCAGACTCTCCCCTGACTCCCGCCAGACTCCCACCAGACTCTCCCCAGACTCCCGCCAGACTCCCGCCAGACACCCGCCAGACACCCGCCAGACTCCCACCAGACACCCGCCAGACTCCCACCAGACTCCCGCCAGACTCCCATCAGACTCCCATCAGACTCCCACCAGACTCTCCCCAGACTCCCGCCAGACTCCCGCCAGACTCCCGCCAGACACCTGCCAGACACCCGCCAGACTCCCACCAGACACCCGCCAGACTCCCACCAGACTCCCGCCAGACTCCCATCAGACTCCCACCAGACTCTACCCAGACTCCCGCCAGACACCCGCCAGACTCCCACCAGACTCTCCCCACACTCCCGCCAGACACCCGCCAGACTCCCGCCAGACACCCGCCAGACCCCCGCCAGACACCCGCCAGACTCCCACCAGACTCCCACCAGACTCTCCCCAGACTCCCACCAGACTCCCGCCAGACACCCGCCAGACACCCGCCAGACTCCCACCAGACACCCGCCAGACTCCCACCAGACTCCCGCCAGACTCCCATCAGACTCCCATCAGACTCCCACCAGACTCTCCCCAGACTCCCGCCAGACTCCCGCCAGACACCTGCCAGACACCCCCAGACTCCCACCAGACACCCGCCAGACTCCCACCAGACTCCCGCCAGACTCCCATCAGACTCCCACCAGACTCTACCCAGACTCCCGCCAGACACCCGCCAGACTCCCACCAGTCTCTCCCCACACTCCCGCCAGACACCCGCCAGACTCCCGCCAGACACCCGCCAGACCCCCGCCAGACCCCGCCAGACTCCCACCAGACTCCCACCAGACTCTCCCCAGACTCTCTCCTGACTCCCGCCAGACACCCACCAGACACCCGCCAGACTCTCCCCTGACTCCCGCCAGACACACACCAGACTCCCGCCAGACACCCGCCAGACCCCCGCCAGACTCCCACCAGAACTCCCACCAGACTCTCCCCAGACTCCCGCCAGACACCCACCAGACACCCGCCAGACTCTCCCCTGACTCCCGCCAGACTCCCACCAGACTCTCCCCAGACTCCCGCCAGACACCCACCAGACACCCGCCAGACTCTCCCCTGACTCCCGCCAGACTCCCACCAGACTCTCCCCAGACTCCCGCCAGACTCCCGCCAGACTCCCGCCAGACACCCGCCAGACACCCGCCAGACTCCCACCAGACACCCGCCAGACTCCCACCAGACTCTCCCCAGACTCCCGCCAGACTCCCGCCAGACACCTGCCAGACACCCGCCAGACTCCCACCAGACACCCGCCAGACTCCCGCCAGACTCCCGTCAGACTCCAGCCAGACTCCCACCAGACTCTCTCCTGACTCCCGCCAGACTCTCTCCAGACTCCCGCCAGACTCTCCCCAGACTCCCGCCAGACTGTGATCACTGATCCTTCAGTCAGCTCTGAATTGGAAAAGATGCAAAAATGTTCATGTCTGTGATGGTTCTACCAACCCAGGAAAGTCCTGAAGAGTCTTAAACTAACATCTGTTCCTTTCAGGACGATGTCCACAGAAAAATCACATTTTAATCACGTTCCAAAGAAAGAGGAGGGTGTAGCTGCTGGACTGGCCTCAAATCCTGGAAGAAAAATAAGGAAGATAAGATTTTGACCCTCCAAGAAGGTTTAGATCGATGGATTATCTTAGCAAGTTAAGAAAGACATCCACACCCGAGTATCTGTGCATCTTTAATAACACTTAAATACATGCATCTTAATTGAGTCAAATTTTTAATGTAGGTTTTTAGAGAAGACAATAAATAAACATAATTAGAAACACTAAGAGGGACTAAAATAAAATAAAACAGAAACAAGAGAGTAAATATTACAGAACAATTAACCGTCAAAAACAATTCAACATAACAGATGCAGCAATGAAGACTAACGGGGAAATGATGACTTCAGCTAAACTAGGAATGTGACTAAATCTGTTGTCAGAATCCAATGCAATGTCCTCCATAATAGTTTCCATTCTTACAAATACATACTTTCATATCATAAAAATATGGGATTTTCTTTGTACAGTTCTGTCATGGCTCATGTCTTAAAATTAATTCATAATAGTCTTTAAAATTTTAAATTTGAGTGCAGAGATAAAATTATACATCTGATTATTTCTGAGGCCCAGAAGCTTCAGGATCCAGACCCAACTGAACATCAAGCATGTTTAAACAACACAGGATGGAAAAAGTGCTCAGTTTCATGCTTTTTTCTATATTCTTTATACTTTATTACTTCCTGTTAGCTTTGCCCTCACCATTTACTGTAAATGTCAGCGATCAATCACTGCAGAGTGACAACAAACGAGGTGCGGTTTCCAGAACGTTGTGTCTGCAAGGATCAAAGCTCAAACTTCGCCCTCATGCTGCTGCCAAAATCAAACACTGTAAAGAATCTCACCTGTTTGGCTTCTTCTGGAGGATCCTGCTGCACGGTCCAGTTAAACTCACCTGACTGAAATCTAACCAGCTGATTCATCCACTGCATGCAGATATGAGACATAATCCTACAGAAGATCTGTCTCTTAATTTTCCTGCAAAATGAAAACAGGTTTTAATTTTCAACTGGAAATGATTGCAGCCAGAGTTTCTACATTTAAATGATGATTTTAAATCAAATTAACTGCTACAAGCTGCTGGGAACATCAATATAATTACACCTGTAATTATAAGAAATTAATGTTATCGCTTCCGCTTCTGATGACGAAACCTGAGAAATGTTGGATACAAGTTTACAGGCGTAAACAATGAGCTGAATGAGGAAACATCAGATATCTGCAAAAATGATGAATAAATGCTCCGCACAGCTGACTCAGCATCTGGAAAGAACAACTTTATTGTCAAGTAAATTCAAGTAAATGTACTTTGTAAAAAAATTAATAAATAAATAAAACAAAAGTAGATGATAAAAGCTCTTTTTTGTTTGATTCATTCACAATGCTGCAAACTGCTGCACTGTGACTGCATTTCTTTCAGTCGATGAAGAAAGAAGAAAAACCTTTTGGACTCTTGCTTCATAAAACGCGGTGATGTTCTCACGGTTCTTTCCTCCCTCAGTGTTTAAATGTAAAAGTTTTCAGGAAAGTCAAGAACTGTGATGCAGACAACAGGCTGAAAATCCTGCGCATCAAAAGCACCATGTGTTTCCCTCGCTGCCCTCTGGGTGGCGCCATGAGTCAAGGAGTGAGACTTAACCGCTTCATCCCCAGAGCAGCAGATTAACAGCAAACTGGAGCTTTTATTACCGATAACCGTGAGATTCTGTAAAACAATAGTTTGATTGAGAGAAATTGGTTTTTCATTTTTGTATATTTCATGTTCTGTGTGTTTTTAGTTTGAACGGGTGGATCCAGTTACTGCAGAACCGCCATACATTTTGTGACAAGCCCAGAACTACCACAGCAGACAATCAGTTGCGAACCAGCAGGGGGCGTTATTCCTTTGTGGGTCCTTGACAAGCTGCAAGACCAAATCTCTTCATGATCAAAGCTGTGACGTATTAATGATGGAAATCCATGAGCAACAACATGAACATCTGGTCATATTAATGAACATAACAGGAAATCCTGTTGATAAAACAGATTTATTGCCAGGCAGCGTTGTCACAACAGAGACGTTCGTTACAGTCTGTGCATCAGCTTCAACAAATTTTCTGAAACATTTTTTTAAGCAGGAGGAATTTTCACCATGTGGCAGTATGCCCTGGAGGTTTTGAACGCACCACACAAGTGCTGGCATTTAATTGGTTGTGGCGCTGTTTGTATATAAGGGGCCCTCCCTCACCTGGTCAACAAGTGTTTCCGGTTTAGACCTCTGTTGCTGTGCAGCGCCAGTAGCACACTCAGGTGTGCACGTTGATCGCTCCTTCTTCTGGTAAGAGGCCGCTCCTATACTTGCTGTTTGTTAGCCTAGCCTTCGCTTAGCTTTAATTGTACACCTAGGTGGCCTGTGTAAATTGCCTGATCCTCCTCCCAGCCAGAGGCACTACACATAGAGCTTGTGGTAGGTGAAAAGCTCATTACCTGCATGCTTTTAGATTTGAGGTTTAACACTTATGTTTGCTATAGACGCTGCTGTTTGTCCTTGGTTGCTGTTTGCCTGTTGCCCTGTGGTTCCTGGTTGATGTCAGCTGTTATTTTGGTTGTCCGTCGGCAGTCCATTTGTCTCTCTGGTTGCTGGCTCTCTGCCAGCCGTCGTGGTCAGCGTGAACCTGACTGCTGCCCCTTGTCCAGCTTGGCTGGTTCGGACTGGCGACCAGCTTGGACGGACTCTGCTGCCGCTCTTGAGTGGCGTCTGTGGCGTGGCATCCCAGGACGGATTCTTAATTGACAATTGCTGCTGATTGTTGACTGAACGACAATTATGAAATGACTCATGTAATTTGAATGTCTTTTATCTTGACAGGAAAGGCCAGTTCGTGGTGTTGGTGGTGGACTTTCCGGGTGGTGGTACTCTTTTGATTTGCTGCACAATTTTCTTTAGTTTTGCTGACTTGAGCCGTCACTGTTATTTATTTAATGTGAGTGGTTTTAACTTAATGTATTTTATTGATTAGCATGAACTTATGTAATAAATACAATTATTGAAATTAGTGAGATTGTCTCAAGCCTCATAGGTAGCGGCCTGTGTGCCTTGAAGATAACTTTTTGGGGATAAATTATTACAATTTTGTCTTAAAAATAGTTCTATTGAACCACACCGGTCCCACCACAACCATAAATCTGAAGTCCTAAAATTATTAACAGTAGCTTATTGTCCTTATTTTTCATGGATTATGAAAAGATTTTTAAGAATTCAGACATTCAAAGATTTTTATTGGAGGCATTCAAAGAAATATTGAGTTTGTTTGTTACACAATTTGCAAAATCAAAGTTTACAAAGCATTAAAATCATATGATTCCCTTTTACCATTAAACTGAAACCAAACCAAAAAAAGCTCAAGAAAGAACATAAATACTCAAAACAGAATCTGATTCTCTTTTAGAAAACATGGAAGATCCGTCTTAATCTACTGGGGGGTCAGAGTCGACTGGAGAATCAGCAGCTGGTAGGCGTTGATATTTAACGGCGGTTCTTCTGTTTCGGTAGATGACCAGACCGCAAACCAACAGGCAGCAGACAGCAAAGACCAGGTTCAGGCCCAGATACAGGCCTGGTCCTGAACCTGTGCCTGGTCCTGAACCTGTGCCTGGTCCTGAACCTGAGAAGAAAGAAAAATCTTAGTGAAAATACAAGGTTTTATATTCTAACATATCGAGAGAGAGAAAAAAAGCTCAAGGCTTTTTATCAAAGTTAGCAGAAACGTCCCAGATTCAGCACAACGACACAGAAACTGGCAGGTTGTGAATACAGGTAAGAAAAATCTGAGAAAACTTCAGTGGAGTAAAATAATAATTTATAACTATGAAGTACACTACAAAATGAATTAAAGGAGTAAAGTGTAACCGAACTTTCACCTTTGGTGTCAGAATGCCTGAGGTGCAAAGGACCCTGGGAAATGGAGTGCCTGCTTGTCTGGGCCGGAGCGTCTCTCCTCCTGCGATCGTTCGGTGAGTCGGATGTGATGCATCCCTGAGAGCATCGAGTTTCCGGATTGCCGCTCTCACACAGGAGGACCGAACAGGAGATGTAGACCTGCAGACACATGCAGGAGAAATCAGACTGACTTATAAGTTTTGATTGACTGTGGGAAAAAGTCCATCCAATCAAAGTCTTTGCAGACTATTTTTGTTAGTAAAACACAAACTTAATCATTTTAAACAGTAACTTTACCTCCTCATGAGCTCCAATGAACTCAAAAGCCTCCATACCAAATCTGAAATTAGACTTGGAGCTTGGGAAGATTTGCACAGTTTCATCCTTCACACATCTGCAACACACCAGTTAAAATATGTTACACAAAGAAAAGGGTTCATTCGCCAGTAAGAACCAAGTCTGTTCTCTCCGTACCCGTTTTCGATGATGGCGTAGCTGATGCGGGAGGTGGGGTTGTCGTAGGGAGTCGCCCTGCAGGACTCCACAAACAGCTCTGTGTTGGGGATGGACGAGCCAGCCTCGATCTGCATGAAGATCATCTGCTTGAGGTAAACCTGCACCGGGTAGCTGCTGGCGTTTATCTGCTTCCTGAAAAGCTGACTCTCAAAGAATTCAAACTGGAAGGTGAAGGAGCTGAATCCTCTCTCGTTGAAAAAGTACGGGTTTTTGTGTGTGAATCCCAGAGTCAGGTTGGTTCGCTTTGGATAGACGCAGGAAAAGACGATCTCAATGTCTTGGTGCCTGGAAATGATTTTATTGGGATCAGCTGATGTGATCACATTCTTGAAGATGATGTTGTCGTCATCCTCCTGATAAGGACATAAAAAAGAAAAATCTAAAACGAGCAGCTCAAACTCCCAGTTCTATATGGAAGCAGATGAAGACTCAGTCGGGTTAGAGGTGCCAGACGGTGCATCGTGTTTCTTAGTTATATGGTTTGTACCTCAACCTGAGTCCCACAGCCGTTCAGGGCCATGACCGCCACCAGGTGAGTCGCGTTCGAACGATGTCTCAGGCTGCACGAAGAATCCCACCAGTCAATTAGATGCAAACTGTTTTCCTTGCGTTTGATGAGGGAAGTCTTTGCCAGCTCTATGATCATTGTTGTTTCATTGCAGGTTACAGTGGCGTCTGCATAGTGTAAGATGTGACAGACATTTCTAATTATGTTAACATTAATATGTATAACTTCAATTCTTGGTTCAGCTTACCGTGATGTTCAACAGAAACAGTCACACAGCGCAGCTCTGAGTGGAACACCCTTTGTTGTCTGAAAAGAAACGACTGTTTCATCCATGAAAGTCAACAGTATATGAAAGCTTTTCTTGTCCTGCTTTCTCCCTAAAGCACAAACTGCTCTACAAACAGAGGTCTCCAGGACAATGTTTTAGCACTTTTATAAAGAAATTAGACTTCTTAAATTATGGTAATGAAAAATGATACTAGAAAGACTTAGTCTGCCATGGAGATCAAATATTTACACTGGTAAACTGGAAGGTAGGTGGAGGTAGCAGCAGATCTCAACTTAACAAAACTTCTAAAGGAGACATTTAACATCAACATTTATCATGGCATGCACTAAAAGATGTTTTTTTTGTGCTTCTTCCAATCTGACATCAAAGGTATGCAAAAGATTCAAGCACTGATGTATCTAAGGGAGCGCCAACATGGACATTGGCATTGAGGTGAAGCTCCATATTAACCGGCGAGAAACTTGAAAACAATATCTTTAAACTGTAGCATAAACTGACAGATGATTATATTTTGCGGTTTTGAAAGTTTTCCTAAAAGTCATTTACCTCTGGAGGTGTGTTGTATGTGCACTGTTATGGGGTTAGATTAGACCTTTCTTGGCTACTGTGTGCAAGTGTTGATGTTTAAAGTAAATTGGGGTCGACTGGAATTGGAGGCAGCTGGTCTGTGTCTCCACAGGATATTATAAGACCCACAACTTCCTAGGATGCTTCCTAGGACAATACCATCTAAAGATGGTATTGTACACCATCTAAAGATGGTATTGTACACCATCTAAAGATGGTATTGTACACCATCTAAAGATGGTATTGTACACCATCTAAAGATGGTATTGTACACCATCTAAAGATGGTATTGTACACCATCTAAAGATGGTATTGTACACCATCTAAAGATGGTATTGTCCTGGGAATACAATCCCAGGACAATTGGTAGTTGGGTGGTATTGTGCAATATTTCTGCTGGGTGTGGTGTGTTAAGAGTGATCTAGTCCAGGGTGCCTCAAATCCCTGCCTGGAATATCCTGCAACCTTTGTGTGTGGTCCTGCTTCAACATACCACAATCAAATGGCTGAATGACCTCCTCAGTGTGCAGTCAGGTTCTCTAGAGCCTTGCTAATGACATGATTATGTAACTCGGATGTGTTGAAACAAAGAAAACCTGCAGGACACCAGCTTTGGAGGACTGAATTTGAGGATGGCTTCTATAATATGCTGGCAAGGATGTCAAAACTGCTCTGCCCTCAAATTACTGATTTTGCTTTTTAAGATTCCTTGGCACTGGTGGTCTTCATTCACTAGGAAATTGACAGGAAATTGGGTGGAGACTGAGAGACAGAAGGCATGCAGTAAATGACCCAAGACTGGGAGTTGAACCCAAGACAACTACATTGAAGACAATCGCTTCTGCATGTGGTGCACATTTGCTACCAAAAGAACCAAGTATCCAAATCAGAGACATTCAACATGTTGGATTGTTGTGGTTTCCCAGCATTTGGGTGTTGCAAGGACAAACGAGCAAACAGCCTGTTGAATGTGACGTTACTTCACTTTCTGCGAGTTGATGGAAATGGGGCAATGCAAATTATAGGAGACAGAACAAATGCAATGGTGCACAAAAGTCCAGTGGACATCTGAGACGATGTTTTGCTTTTTCTCTGTACAAACTATTGCCATTGTTTCCTTGTTGTCAGTCAAGGAACTCACGTTTAGAGCAAATAAACAAGAGGTTTTGCAAGATTGTCCATTTGACATATAAATATTTGTGACTAAAATCTGATTTTGGTCTTTGCCTTGCGGCTGAACACCGCAGTCTGTCGTATCAACTCTGTTGATGTTTTCATTATTGTTGCATGTGCATGGCTGCTCATGTTTTGAAAATCAACTGACAATTTAAACCACTTGTTTGAATCAGGCCTCATTCAGGTTTTCAATATTTATTAACGGTTTAAGTGTAGACCAGTTTCAGCTGCAATCAGTGGGTATTATAAACTCGGAATGTCTCAATTCTAAGCACAATGTCTGCCAGATAAAATGGGAATTATGTAACGCTTAATGAGACCATTTATAACTGGCTTACCCATCTTCTGCTTCAGAAACAAAGCAAATAGGAAAATGACCATGCAGTTCAAAGTCAGTTGGCGTCCATTTTATGACGTATGAATCGCTTGAAACCTTTTCCTTTGAAATACGCGGTGGTCCTGTCACAAGCATTCATAACAAGCAGTATGTTCAGTTTGTGAATATATGACATTTGTTGATAACTATAAAATAATACTAATGGGTGTGATTTTAAAAAGAAGAAGACATTAAAAGTGCAATCAGTGACTGTTATTTAAGCTTTTCTTACATTGCATGTTGAGCTGTGGACCTGACTTTGACTTTAAGTGTTTGTTTCACAAAGGCTGGTAAATTCACCCCATTAACTGGAGTTGGTGCCAAAAATATGGGGAAGTAATCTCCGTCAAGACATGAAGGAATGATGTAATTGTCCACTGAAAACCAGGTGACAAGACAGACAGTGAGAAACTTATAAAACATCACTGAGCTTATTTGTGTCTTGTAGAAATCATTTATCTACCATAAACTGTAAATTCCAGAGGAATCCGGCTTAAAGGAGGATTTGATGGTCTATAAAGGGGGGTGTTAGTGTGTGGAGTAATGGTAGTCGGAGCTGCTGTGGTTGTTGGGTAAAAGGCATTGGTAGTTGGAGCTGCTGTGGTTGTTGTTGGGTGAAAGGCTTTGGTAGTTGGAGCTGCTGTGGTTGTTGTTGGGTAAAAGGCATTGGTAGTTGGAGCTGCCGTGGTTGTTGTTGGGTGAAAGGCATTGGTAGTTGAAGCTGCTGTGGTTGTTGTTGGGTAAAAGGCATTGGTAGTTGGAGCTGCCGTGGTTGTTGTTGGGTGAAAGGCATTGGTAGTTGGAGCTGCCGTGGTTGTTGTTGGGTGAAAGGCATTGGTAGTTGAAGCTGCTGTGGTTGTTGTTGGGTAAAAGGCATTGGTAGTTGGAGCTGCCGTGGTTGTTGTTGGGTAAAAGGCATTGGTAGTTGGAGCTGCCGTGGTTGTTGTTGGGTGAAAGGCATTGGTAGTTGGAGCTGCCGTGGTTGTTGTTGGGTGAAAGGCATTGGTAGTTGGAGCTGCCGTGGTTGTTGTTGGGTAAAAGGCATTGGTAGTTGGAGCTGCTGTGGTTGTTGTTGGGTGAAAGCATTGGTAGTTGGAGCTGCCGTGGTTGTTGTTGGGTGAAAGGCATTGGTAGTTGGAGCTCCCGTGGTTGTTGTTGGGTGAAAGGCATTGGTAGTTGGAGCTGCTGTGGTTGTTGGGTAAAATGAGGCTTGACGCTTGCGGCGCATTGTTGACAAGTGATGTTTTGTTGTGTAGGATCTGTCAGAGTAGGAGATGGTAATCCTTTGGTTGGGAAAGTCCTCAACCACAAGCTCAATTGGATGGTATCCAATGACCTCGCTGGACTTATATGAAACAGAGCAGGAGTTCTGACAAAAAACATACATACTTTCATCAGACAGTTGGTGTTTAGGTGTGCAGTAGGAGTAGCCTTCTGTCCAGAAGGCTTCAGACAGAATCTTCCTTGAACTGACAGAATTTAACCGTCTCATTTTATAATCTTAAAAATATATTTAGCATTACGTAAAATAAAATTTCAATAGTACTGATGTGTGTGGTTCTTCATGTTTATATTATGATGAAATAACCTTACCTTATCTACAGAGAAACCGCTGTCAAGACTGCACAATGAGCAAGTCTCATGGGGGACATTGTAACGTATTACAGGTACTCTGCATCTCACGCGATCCCCGTCAGGGTCAAATACAGTCAGATTGAACGTTCGAGGACAGTACTTTGTTACTCTGCAACAGGGAATTCAACTGAATCATTTATATGTTTCAGAAAGGTAATTTTCACATTGTGACCTCTGTCATTCAGCAGTAGCTTGGGATACAAAATATCAAGGGCTTTAAACAGTTAATTTAGAAAAACTGCTCCAAAACACAGCAGCTGCTGACTTGTTGAAGTATCTGAAGTTCAGATGTTTGGTTTACTAAAACAAAAAATGTCTTTACTTTAAAAGTTTAATAGTTAATATGAGTTTTAATTTTGTTTTTCATGAAAAAGTAATTGTTTTGTGCATACTTTACCTTGCAAGTATAACAAAACAGATTATTATTGCATTGAGCAGGAAGAATAATAATATTTAGTTTATTTTGAGGCATGTTTTTCTAAGTCAGACACTGATATTTTTTATGCTTTAACCAAAAAAGAAAATTGAAACCATTAAACCAAATAATAATTAAAAAAATGACGAAAACTAGTCTTTTAAATGAAATTATTTTTAAGTTCAGAGAAGAAAAAAGATCTACAATGATATGTATTTTGCAAATAGATTTCTGCTTCAAGATTTATTCTTGAAGCCTTAAAATAATCAAAGACTTGGATGTTAAAACTGTTCAAATAAAAGTGTTGTTAAAAATAACAGCATGTCTTCCTGGGCAGGGACCTAAAAGCTGAAGTTGGCTGTGGCTCTGCCACTAAAACCACTGACACTCTAACTGGTTTGATATGAAATATGGATTTACTTTATTTTTTCATACTTTGCAAGATTTTGTGGCACAGTAGCACACTTATGTATGTAGACAAACTTTATTTTGTTTTTGGCACATATTCGTATGGATCTCTTCTTCTAACCTAAATAATATTCATTTTGGGACAGAGCTGGACTTTTTGAAATTAAACAACTTTAATGACAGCTGGAAAAATACTGCATTTGTAAAAAATATATCTGTGTGTTTTCCTAAGGATATATTAAAAATATAAAAGTTTTAATCTACATTAAAAAGGTAAATGTGTCGTAACAATGTAATAAAAAGCGTTATGAAAATAATAAACAGTATTGAAGAACTTACCTAATAATAGGGAGTGTTGTTGTGACGGGAGATCTGTTGGATTCGCCGGTATCAGATCGGGTTCCCAGGTCGATGTACGTTATTGTTCCCCAGTGAGTGAGCCATCCTCTGGAGTTTTCTATCCATAAGCCCATCTTATAGTGGAAATTGTAGTAGTTTGGGTAACTGGTGGAATAATAGTTCAGCAAAAATGCTTTTCAAGACAATTGTTGACGGCTAAAATTGGAAGATATTTTATTTTACACAATATAAGATCATCTTACTAAATTTCAAAGGGAAGGTTGGTTTTGAAATTTCTCTTTGAAACTACTTCAACTTGATACCAGGTGAGATTAATCGAATTACGGGCAGTAATGATGGTGTTGCTCTGGGTCTCCATCCCGCAGTCACCAAATCCGCATCCATAGGAATTCTCATGGTCTTCATATCCAGTTGGCTTATAGCGAATTTCCACCTAAAAAACAAACATGTTGCTTGAATTCCAAACTACTGTACTTTATAAGACAACAAGAAACATTTTATCGGCAGCAATTATTGACATAAAATGAGGTAAAATGAAGAGAAATACTCATTTTAAAGTGTAACTGTTGACATGGTCACATCACTGAACAGGGAGTTAGTAACTTGGCTTTTCCATTTGAAAGAGATTTCTTTATAAAGGTATTTTGGTGTAAATTCATTTGTGGCTTGTAACTGAGAAGTTGAAACTGTAGTAAAAATACTAAAGGAGTTTTATAACTTGATATTTTTTCTCATCTGCAAAACAGCTGTAAAACCTCATCCAATTCTTAAGCACAAGAGACAAATGGTTTTGTTTGATTCACACTTTAAGAAAATATTACACTTACAGTTTTGCACCAAATGACCCAAACAATTGATGAAAAAACAAATCTTCATAGCTGTCAGAATTAAAAAAAGAATATTTCTTTATTACTTAGACAGAAAACTAATGTTGCACTTCACAGCACAAGTCAGAGATCCCTTTCTAGAAGTCACAGAATATAAATGCTGTTTTGTAGTTCTGACCTAAAACTTCCAAGTTCTCAGATACAAGCCGGAAACACTTTTGTATCAAAATACAGTATCTTCATATGTCTTGATGTCATATCAAGAAATATGTGACATCAATTGCATGAAGAGGTAACTGTTCTCCTTTATGGTTCTTGTTTTTAACATAAACATCAGACTTCATTCATAGAGCTGCACAAGCCTTTTAAAGGGACAGATACTTTTATGTCAGTAAAATCTTGACACCATCCTTCTGTCTCTTCTGTGGTCCTGAAAAAGCAAATAATGATGTAATAATAATGACATGTTTGTGTTTGACTCACCTCATAATCCCCCTTTAAGTTTTTTCTTTTAGGGGAGAAGGACAGCGATGTGCCAAGGTGCCTGTATATTTGTGATTCAGATGAAGCTGCTAAGAGGAGTAGATGCAACAGCACAAGAGAAGCCATCCTGACCGATGCTCCAGTCTCCTCACAGATAGTTTGTTTGTTGCTTTCTTATAAAGAAAGAGGCATGAAGGGGATATTTTTTACTGATTTGCAGCTGAACTGGTTCTGCAGCAAATGACCTGGCAGAACCAGTTGTTTCAGGCCTAATTTAACCTAAAAGTCATGACAGCTCATTCTTTCACCACCATGTGAAACAAGCTCATCGTTGTTACGTCCACCAGGCTCGTTTGGTGGGGAACATTAAAGGAGACCACACAACAATTTTCTGATTAAATGAATATTGAATTTATTAAATTACTCTAAAGAAATAAAACTGGAAAGGGGAATACCTGAAATGAGAAACCGAAATAGATTAATGCAAAACCTATAACTAACCAGAAATAAGCAAATGCACAACAAACCTAACAAAACCCAACCATAAGATGCAAACCAAATCAAATGGGGTTCTGCGGTAGGAAAAGCCTCCTGTCTGCTGCGTCACGGCAGCTTTTAAAGCAGCAATCAGGGCAAAACGTAACACCTGCAGGAGGCCTGTCTCCATACCCCGACAAGGAAAATGGGCAGAGACTCACTGCAGCCATAACAGTTGTTTTTCATTAATGTTTGTATGATTTCCAGGAACATAATCAGATTCATTGGCTGTTATTCTGTTATGTTCAAAGATAATTCTTTCATCTGACCGTGCATCAGATTTCCGTGTAGCTATTGTGAATGACACTGGCAGGTTTCTTCCACTGGAGAGTGGAGTCAACCAAAATGCACCCATCACTCACCTGTCACTCCATCAGCTGCAGTTAAAAGGATCCACTCCTGCTGAGGATCAGCCTGTAATAACCTCAAGCCCAGGGTTGCTTAACAAGTCGATCTCTGGAAGGCTTGACAGCTATTTTAACTTTGATGTAATCGTCACACGATTTTAACTCACTTGGTGTTGCTTTTAATAAAGGCTTGGAAAGATAATTCTGGTCCCTGAACAACTAACTATTTACTGGGAACTCTGGTACCTTCAGTTAGAAATGAATGAAAACTCCAATTAAGTACGAAGAGAAAAAATAGGTTTCCAATATTACGTGTGTGTGTGTGTGTGTGTGTGTGTGTGTGTGTGTGTGTCTGTGTGTGTGTGTGTGTGTGTGTGTGTGTGCGTTCGCTTTTTAATAATGTTTGTGTTTTTTTCAGTTGTTCAGGGCAATTCCACATCCAGGCGCCAGGGGGCGCTGGTCTCGTTGGTGGCTTACGGACACACGTTAGGAGCCTCCTGCTCGATGCTAACAGGATCAACGTGTTCCTCATTTGTTCGGTGCTACAGGTCAGTATGTGGATATTTTAATGAATATGTGTTGTTGGCTTTTAAGAGCTAAATAGATGTACTACTCAGGACGCCACTAGCGGGTCCATGATGTGGTTCCTGATAAATATTTTGTAGAAAACAGAACTTGTTACTGTATGCTAACCATGCTAAAGCTAGTTGGTTTTCAGTTAGCTAGTGTAAAGCTAACTGAAAAACAACTGAAAGGCTTAGACTTAGACTTCCTTTATTGTCATTGTACAAAAAAAAACACAAGGTGAATCTTGACAACGAAATGTCGTTACTTGGCTACCAGTGTAGCAGAGCTAAAACCTTAAACTACCCAATAAATAAATAAATACAATACAAGTGCCATAGAATACACAGGTTCAGTGTTGTGAACAAAACTAAACTAAAGTGCATGTATTGACCATGTCCATGGGGGGTCATTTGGTTTGTGAGTGTGTGGAGGGGTGTTATGTGGCGTTAAACAGTCTGATGGCCCGGGGGAAGAAACTGTTCAGTAGTTTGGTTGTTCTGCACAAGATGCTGCGGAACCTTCTTCCAGACGCCAGGGGGGAAAACAGTCCATGGTTGCTTCATATGCTATTAATGTGTCGAAATGGTTCTAGAATAGACATTTTTATAATTTACTGCCAAAGTCAAAGGCACTATAATATTACATGACTAAGTGAGAGAGAAACGGTGATGTTTACAGAGATTCGCCATTTAAGGAGCTTCGTACTAGTTCGGTTGTTCTGAAGCTCATGTTGTAATAAAAGCATTTAGTGTATTAATAAAGACGAACTGCTATTAATTCTGTTAAAATGCCAAACAGTTGAAATGTAAAGGGCTTAAGTATTGAAGAACATTACTAATCCACAAATGCTGTGCCTGACTAAACTAAGGAACACGTAGCATCTGCAGTCAATGAGGTATTAGAGACTGCGTGATAGAAACAGTGCAGATGGAACAAGTAAGTAAAGTTCTGACTGCATTAGAACAAGTTGGTCTATTGGATTTAAAGGGTATGAGCATGGATCAGATCCAAGTAGATCCCAAGAGTAAAATCAGTTAATTACAGATATCTAATATTATACCATGCTAATTGTGGTGTAATGTTAATGTCTGTTAAAGCCATTTGGGTTTTCTACAGATCGTGCAAGGAATAAATGATGGTGATGATGGGGACTGTTCATAGTTCCTTGTCTTCAGGTGTGTCCACGTATTTATTTACTGTCACATTTTCTTTTTGTACAGTCCACCAAAGCCAGAGGATGCCAGACAAGAGCAGAGGAGTGATAACGTAGGTAGAAAAGTGGATATTTTTTCATTGTCTTTATTTCATGAATAATTTTGTTCCCATTTTTGGTGCTCACATATGAATGGATTTCTTATCACTTTAATCTTAAATGATGTCCACTGTTGGCACAAAATTAAACCACAGTTTGCAAAACTCACTTGTTCCACTGGAAACTTTTGAGTTGACTCTTAACAATTAATGGCCAAGTTTATCTTTATGGGAACATGTCAGTTCAGAGTATTTTCTGGCATAAAAACATAATATAGTAACCATTTATGAACCAAGCCATAAATATTGCATTTTGTCAAATGGGATAATGAAAACGATGTGTCCTGTGCAGGACTCTGGGTGACTAGTAACAGATTTAAAGTTACTAGTCATTTTCCCTCAGCTCCTTAGTTCAGGCTCTCACCAAGAAGCTGCTGCTGAGTTTCTGTTTAAGTTCCTGGTTTTCAGTTTTTAATATTAGACTCATTATTTTAGTTTGTTCCTCACAAATAACAGTTTTCACTGGTAACAAATTTCCATTGATTTTCAGTTTTTAAACCTTCAGATCATCAAAGATAATTATCTTAAGAGAATGTTATAAATGCCTTACAATCTCATAAATGGGCAGCAACACTGATTGACGACTACAATAATTATTAACCCTTGTTTGAAAGAATAGATAGGAATTTTGAAGACTTCCTCACAAGTGAATGAAAAAACAAATTGCAATGTATTTGTGCAGAATAATTTTAATGATAGTGGCACAAAAAAGGATTAAAACATTGATTGCTCTTTCTAGTTTAGGTATGAGAGAAAAGAAAAATGTAAATTGAGCCCAAAATGCAGAACATATTCAAATATTAGACATTATGAATCATTGTTTTGTATTTTAAAAGTAAAGACACCTTTTTGACAAATAAAATAATTTACTGTTAAGCAACCAATATTTTTAAACGAGAGAAATGAAGTTTTGAAAGTTATTGTGTTTCAAAGGTTGGCACCAGTTGGTATTTAGTTCTGGTTCTTCTGGACCGATAGATGATCACTGCAAGTACCAGGACACAGCCAACAATCAAGATTTGGTTCAGACTCAGAGTCACATTCAGGCCAGACCCTGAAATGTAAACAAGATAGATTTTATCTGGTTATAAAAGCTTGTACAGTGCAGAATCAGACAAAAAGACAAACTGAGAAAATAAAGTTTAAGTAGTGCTTTGATTAAGATCTTTATACTTTTTTATTTAGAGAAAAAAAGTCAATCTGTATGCAAATACAATGTAGAAAAAAATGTTTTGGATCAATTATTGCCGTTATATTTTTTCAACTTTAATATAGACTGTATTTCCATATGACTGAAAAAATAAAAAATCGTGGTAATTCTAAATATTCTCTATTGGCTCTAAAAATAAATGAAAATCTAAAAATTAGAATACTTCAAACTAACCACACAATTTAAAATAAACCAAATTTGAATAGCATTGAATAAAACGTCATTAAAAAAAACATTAGATTGAGTAACCATTAGTTAAACTCACCTTTGGTGTCAGATGTCTTAGCAAGGCGCAAAGGACCCTGGGAAATGGAGTGGCTGCTCGTCTCAGCCGGAGCGTCCCTCTTCTTACGATTGTTCCATGAGTTTGATCCAATGCATCCCTGAGAGCATCGAGTTCCAGGAGTGCCGATCTCACACAGGAGGACCGAACAGCTGATGTAAACCTGCAGAAACATGGAGGAAAGTCAGATTTATTTATTTTTTGTCATTACATTTAAAGATATACATTGCACAATGTTGGCTTCGATATTATTCTTGAAGTGAAACAATCTTAAATTGTAGTTGGGAAACTGCCACACTTGCAACCTTGCAAGCCTGTTCGATAATGGATGGATGAAACAATTTTGGGTTTCATACAGGCCACTCAGTGTCACTGTTTGTGGCTGTATTGAGATTAGATGTGTTGGTAATCGAAAAGGTGTTTTTAATTTATTTGTTTATTGTGTTGATTTCTCACATTTGGCAGCTGTTGTTTACAGCTCCCTGCCAATGCCCTATTGCTGAAGATCCGTAAAAAGTTCATTTTCCAGATAAAAGTATCATAGGTTGGGTTTTTCTTGATATACTTTTCACTAAAGGTAAAGTTTGAGTAGATAAATACTAACATGGGGTCATAAAACATAAAAAAGTAACTTCACCTCCTCGTGAGCTCCGATGAACTCAAAAGCCTCCATGCCAAACCTGAACTGAGACTTTGGGCTTTGGTAGATTTGAACAGTTCTGTCCTTCACACATCTGAAAACAATGGTTAGAGTGTTTTAGACAAACAGAAAAACAGTTTGTAGTAACTATTAAAGTAATAATCCTTTATTTTCTTTTTACCCGTTTTCGATGATGGTGTAGCTGATACGGGAGTTGGGATTGTCGTAGGGAGTCGCCTTGCAGGACTCCACAAACAGCTCAGTGTTTGGGATGGATGAGGTGGCCTCGATCTGCATGAAGATCATCTGCTTCAGGTAAACTTCAACTGGGTAGCTGCTGGCGTTTACCTGCTTCCTGAAACGCTGGCTCTCAAAAAATTCAAACTGGAAGGTGAAAGCTCCAAAGCCTTTCTCTCTGAAGGCGTACGGGTTTTTGTGTCTGAATCCCAGGGTCAGGTTGGCTCGTTTTGGGTAGGAGCAGGTAAAGGCAACTTCGACATCGTCCTGCCTGGAAATTATTTTATTTGGGTCGGCTGCAGTGATTTCATTCTGAAAGTATATCCTATCTTCATCCTCCTGGAAAGAAAGAATTAAACACTCTTTGAAAAAAATGGTTTGTTATAATTACAGAAACTTTCTGTCTTGATAAATATGCATCCGTGAACCTAAAGACAACTGTTCAGACAAGATCTGATCTGTACAATCGTATTCAGAGACACCTTCATTCTTTGCTTTGAGTTTTTTTTGTTGAATTTTTTTATGTAATTTAATTCTTTCATTCATTGTTTAAATCTGCCACCGTGTTTGGTTCATTTTTGTTTCTCTGTACCTGAACCTGTGTCCCACATGCTCCGAGCTCTATGACAGCCACCAAATGGGTTTCGTTGGAGAGTCTTTTGAGGTCACAAGAAGAATCGGTGAAGCTTTTTAGATGCAGCTTGTCTTCCTTACGTTTGATGGTGTAGGTCTTTGCTACTTCCATAGTCATAGTTGTTTCATTGCAGGTCACAACAGCCTCTACAATTTTCACAGGGTAAGTTTCACGTTATTTTCTCATCATTATGGGTAGTGGCAAATGTGTAAAAATGGTGAACCATTTAAAGTTTCTGACTATCTTTAAAGCTAGATGCTCCTGATATAGTATCAAAAACACTACAAAACATTCTTACTCCCTGTCAGCTGTGATGACATCACATTTAAAAGTAGTATCCGTTCATATGAAGAAGCTGTTCATGTGCCATAGAAGTCTGGAAATACCCATGAACTGTAGACTAGTCCACCAATGTCTTGGTTCAGTAAGATCAAATAAATACAAGAATAAGCTCTAAATCTCATCTTAAACTTTAAAAAATTCAGTTGAAAATCATAAAACATAACTCAGTGTAGAGCAGTGCTTCTCAAATAGTGGGGCGGGCCCCCTTTGGGGGCGCGGTGCGATACCTGGGGGGCGTGTGATCCTGGGGAACAGGCTTTTTTTTGGCCGTACTAGTATAAAGTGTAATTGCGCACAGTAGGCGGCAGTGGCGCTCTCATTGTTACTTCTGTCACGTTTGCGACAGTGCAACATTTTACGACTTACAAGACAACAGGTTTGCCTTGGTTAGCAGTGTTAAGTCAACAAAAAGCTCCGACTGCGTTCTGTCTATGGCCTCCGTTATTCAACAACCTCCAACATGAAAAGTTTTTCACAGGGATGAAAAGAAAAGCGGAGAGAGACAAAGATAATGAGACAACAGAAAGTCAACCGAAAGCTAAGAAGAGGAAATACGACGAATCGTATTTAGCTTGGCTTCACTGTGACTACAGTTGGAGAAGAGGAAAGACCGGTGTGTTTGCTGTGTCTAAAAATGCTCGCAGCGGACAGCATGAAGCCAAATAAATTAGCGCGTCACTTAAATACGTTACATCCCAATCACGCGATAAGCCGCTAGAGTTTTTTCAGCGAAAAAAATGTTAATAAGGAAAAAATGTTATGCAGAGATGGATAGTCACGGTGGGAAGTGGGGGGCGCGAATAGTTTTCTTCTTGCTAGGGGGGGCGTAACGGAAAATAATTGAGAAGCACTGGTGTAGAGGAACAACACCTGGTAACCAACCACACTGTCATCCCACAGCATAAGCTGGATGAAGCTAATGTGTGCTAAGCTGAAAGTTATTCCAGTTTCTGCATGGTAGTACCTATTTGACTTCAAATATTTGTTAAAATGTTAAAAAATGGATAAATGAGGATTAAGATTATTAATAATATCATGGATAAACTGCTTTATTGACTCACCCTGGTGACTAACATCAACAGACACACACCGCAGCTCTGAGTGATAGATGTTGTAATACCTGAATAGCAGCAAACAAGAGAACCATGGTAGAAACGCTGTTGATTAATTTATAAGTTTTTTGGTTTTGCTATTGAATATGAGTTACACCTAGCTGATCTAAGGCACGTTTTTGATACTCACATATCTCTTGCTTCAGACACAAAGCAAATAGGGAAATGATAATTCAGTTCATCTTCAGTTGGTGTCCATTTTATAATGTATGTATCTGTGGAGGATCTCTCCTTAGAAGTGCGTTGTGGGCCTATCACAATGAGGTCATTAATCCTATAGAGTACAAATGGTTTTAATGGCAGAATGGAAAGGCAAACACATTACTATAAACAAGTCTAAACAAGAATATTTCAAGAACATATACGAATATTAAGCAAGAGGAAAATTGCTTACGTTGTGTTCTGAGCTTTTGAACTGACTTTAATTTCGAGGATGCGGTTGACATATGCAGGAATATTTACTCCATTAATTGGAGTTGGTGCCACAAAAATGGGAAAATAATCACCATCGAGGCACGAAGGAGCATTGTGTGAGTCCACTGGAAATCAAACAACGAATGAGAAATAATACACTTATTTGAGTAAGTTGTAGAAAAAATGTTACATACCAAGAACAGTGAATTGTAGCGGTAGAATGCTTAAAGGTCTGATTGATGATCGGTAATACTGTGCAGTAGTGGTAGGAGGAGTTGTGGTGGTTGGAGGAGTCGTGTGGTGGTTGGAGGAGTTGTGGTGGTGGTTGGAGGAGTTGTGGTGGTTGGAGGAGTCGTGGTGGTGGTTGGAGGAGTCGTGGTGGTTGGAGGAGTCGTGGTGGTTGGAGGAGTCGTGGTGGTGGTTGGAGGAGTCGTGGTGGTGGTTGGAGGAGTTGTGGTGGTGGTTGGAGGAGTCGTGGTGGTGGTTGGAGGAGTTGTGGTGGTTGGAGGAGTCGTGGTGGTGGTTGGAGGAGTTGTGGTGGTTGGAGGAGTCGTGGTGGTGGTTGGAGTTGTCGTGGTGGTGGTAGGAGGACTTGTGGTGGTTGGAGGACTTGTGGTGGTGGTTGGAGGAGTCGTGGTGGTGGTTGGAGGAGTTGTGGTGGTTGGAGGAGTCGTGGTGGTGGTTGGAGGAGTTGTGGTGGTTGGAGGAGTCGTGGTGGTGGTTGGAGGAGTTGTGGTGGTTGGAGGAGTTGTGGTGGTTGGAGGAGTCGTAGTGGTGGTTGGAGTTGTCGTGGTGGTAGGAGGACTTGTGGTGGTGGTTGGAGGACTTGTGGTGGTTGGAGGACTTGTGGTGGTGGTTGGAGGAGTCGTGGTGGTGGTTGGAGGACTTGTGGTGGTTGCAGGACTTGTGGTGGTTGGAGGAGTCGTGGTGGTGGTTGGAGGACTTGTGGTGGTGGTAGGAGGACTTGTGGTGGTGGTAGGAGGACTTGTGGTGGTGGTAGGAGGACTTGTGGTGGTGGTTGGAGGAGTCGTGGTGGTGGTAGGATAATCTGTTGTGGTTGGATAAACTGTAGTGGTGGTTGCAGCAGCTGTTGTGCTTCCTGGGTAAGCTGCCATAATCTGCCGTTTGCGTCGTGTCATTGTTTGGGGCCATTTTCTTGTGTAGGATCCATCGGAGTAAGTCAGTATGATGTCTTGTTTGGGAAAGTCCTCCACCACAAGCTCTACTGGGTTATATCCAGTTTGAGCTCCAGTATTAAATGTAAGGGTGCAGGAATTCTGACAAGAAAGACAAATGTCTTAAGTGTTGTTTGTTCATCAATCCATTTTTCTACCCCAGTATGTAAGAAACATTAGTAATGTGGTCTCATGTGCTGCATATGGATTTTCTCTCGCCTGTGAGGCTCATAATGACTTGACTCATTTGCATAGATTTTTATTTTAACTGCAGTTTGTGGAGTATTTTTAAAACAAGTTCTGCCACTGTCACAAGTCATGTTTCTTCATTAGCAGGGCACAGACATATGTCTTAAACCTTCCTAGGTCTTGTTGTTTATGTTCAGATCATGAAGTCTGATGAGCTGTTGTAAGTGTCTATGAAATCAGAGTTACTTGCAACTGAATTTGATCAATTCACCACTGATCAAATTCAGTTTGGTGAATTGGATCACCAAACTGAAACTGATCAAATTGATATTGGAGATGCTATTCCTCCAAATGTGACCCTCATCTGTGCCCACATCCTAAATAATTACTGTGGATTTTTACCAGAAATGTTTCCCTATCAAGAAACCATCCAGAGATATCAGGGAGTAGAACTTGAGCTCATGTTAAGTACATGGTGCTAATCGAGCAGCTGGTAGGACTAGGCCTGTCACGAAAACAGATTTTACTGGGCGATTGTCTCAAAAAATTGTAGCGATAATATTGTTTGAAGACCTTTTTACACTGATTTAATAGAAATTGCATAATAATTTCAGAATTGCAATTTTCTGCCAAAGATAGATGCACTTTACTTTCAAAAGACACTTAACACTGGGGCTGATACACAAAATAAATAACACAACCAAAAACAAAAATAAAATAGATTCTCAGTCTCCATTAACAATAAATGTACTTGAATAAAAACTAAACAACATAAAGCCAAAGTGGAAATAAACACTGCATTCAACCAAAATACTGCAGATTATGAAGTCTGTATATTATATTGGCCTTCTGTAATAATTATATTTAAATAGAGAAAAATCTGACTGCCTGATGCAAAAGTTCAAACTACAGGATTTTTTACCTCGAACAACAATCTTAGAACGTTATTCGTTCTGAGATTGTCACTAGTGTGTTACGGTAGATCGTTGTGGCCGCTCCAATCTAAATCCAGGATTTGCCCAGACTGGGAGCTGAATGCAGCCTGTTGAATGTGACCGGGAGCCAATCAGAAAGCGCGGATTCTCCTCGTGCTTTCTGAGGGGAAACACGGAGGGAATCCCGAACAGCTGACACGACGAAACCCAAAGTCCAGCAGACATCGGAAATAACATGAATGTTTATTCAACAGTTGGTGCAAAGAAAATATAAATAACTCCGGGAGGAGTTGGAGCGAAATTTCTACCAGAAAACCTGGTAACTTTTCAGCTGTTCTTCGTTAAGGTGACATAAAATGGTTATAATGATTTTCATTCAGTCAGACTGACACTCGCTACATGCATTGCAGGCAGATTGTAGTAAGGAATCGATTAATGCCTGGTTTCAAAATTAGTGAACTGGATTTATTATTTTGTGCCGATTGTTGGAAAACACACGGCGGATTTCTGTCGGCTAATGTGTCTCTCAGGTTTTGATAATGGGCCGACAATCGGCGACATAAGATGGTGCAGCGCGCGCTGGGCATTAAAGAAATGAGGAAGGGAGGGTCAGTGGAACCTTTTTTTATTCAGTGTCATCAACACTAAGAGAATAAGGCAGGAAGAAACGATATAGCCGATAATCGAAATGAGGTCGATAGTTTTAATTTATCGTGCGATTAATTGATTTATCGTTTATCGCGACAGGCCTAGATAGGACTGTAGAAAGGCTTCAAGTTCCTTTTTTCGGTTGAGTCTAGCTGAGCACCTGGATCTTCCTTCTGCCTCTGGAAAGATACTTCATGTCCACAATGAATGTCCAGTTTGCGCTAAGACAGCATAGCATAGATGTTCTGAAAACCCGAAGCTATCTATACATTTACCACATTTAGATGTGATATCTGTTGAGTTTGCTCAGCTTTAGTTGTTTTCATAAAATAGTGCATGGCTAAAATTTGTATTTAGCCATACACTATTAGTGTTACACATTTCAAGTTCACTTATTTACATTGAGTCATGAGCTGCTTAATTTACATAGAGACTGGGAGGAAGGGAAGACATCCTTCAAAAACAATTTACTCTTTAACTTTTGTTATAAAAAGATTCTTACCTTATCGAAAGAGAAGCCATTCGGAAGGCTGCATATAGAACACTCATATGTACCAGAGTCTGTCGGTAGTCTGCATCTGACATTGTCACCATCGGGATCAACAGGCTTGATATTAAATGATCGAGGGCAGTTGTTTGTTACTCTGTAATGAGACGAAAGCCTGGTTGAAAACGGCAGGTAGTAGAGGTTATTGATTTGGGCAAATGCCTGGAAAGAGGGTGTCCAGCTTGGACTTGGCTATGCATTTTATCTATAATGATTTGGAGTGGTTTCCAGTCTGTACTTGGAGTCAATCAGCAAATTCATGCAGATACTTGAGCAGCTTGTAAATTAGGACCTCCAAGCTGAAGACCACTGTCCTCAGATGAAAAAGAGTTGATTGAGTCTTTTGGTGGTTGAATGAAGTACAATGTTGTGCTGGGAAGAGAATTTCTAAAAAGAGTTTTCAGTCAGTTTAGCAGATCATTTTGCTCATGAACATGAGATGTAGGTATGATTGAAAGAATTAAATTGTAAATAAAAAAGGCTACAAAAAAAAGCTGTGTCTAAAGGCAACAGGGCTGACCTACAGGGAGGAGAGAGGCTTGAGTTGTTCTGCTGACTTAGTCAGGATGTTTAGTCAATGTCTTTTAGAAAATATTTGTGAAATATCCTCTAAAAAATGTCTGTTTACCACTGGGCCAGGATTCTCAGGAGAGATGAAGTGTTAAAGCTGACTTGGGAAAGTCAAAGCACCTCTAAAAAGATCTGAATGAGGGAGAGGGAAGTCTGGGATCTAATGCTGTAACTGCTGCTACTCTATTTGTGGATGAATAATTTAATCACAGTCAAGCTCATTTAGAATAGAATAGAATATTTGATCTGCAACAGGAATTTGCATGTTGGCAAGCTACTCCATCCAAGGTCCTCCTTCATAGAGAAAACTTAAATGTAAAGAGTTTGACATTGTAACAGCTAATGGCTAAAGGCAGGAATGATTTCCTGCTGTGATCCGTGGTGCATTTTGGAACTATGATGTATATTTAAATTGCTTCCAGTGCTGTATATTTTGTACACTTATATAAGATGTACAGCTTTGGAAAATATGAAGAGACCACTGCACTGAACCATTGGGAATATTATGTAATCCTAACTCTATCCCTACATTAAATGAGACATTGCAACTATAGTAGAATTTGTGATTATTACGTAATGATATTGATACAGATGGATGAACATAAATTAACCGCAGCTTTCCTATCAACAGACATCTATCGTAGTATTTGGGTACAATCAGACATATTAGTAACAATATTCTCAATATAATACCAGGGTTGTTGGTGGCTTTTTGCCTGGAAAATTAGTGAATATTTACAAATAAACAAGTGAGTATTATTTACCTGAGAATGTTAGGGGTGGTAATGACAGGAGGTCTGTTAGATTCCTGAGTATCTGATCGGATCCCCATGTCCACGTGTGTCATCATTCTCCATGGATAATATTCACCTCTCACGTTTGGATACCAGTAACCATTTCCGTTGTACCAGTAGTAATAGTATGGGTATCTGTTGAATGAGAAGTTTTAATATGGACATAAATGAAGTATTGATAGTTATATTGTTCAGTAAAATGAACAGAAAGTACAATTGAACAGATTTAAAGAACACTTTATATTTGCTTCAGTTCTGCAACCTTCAGTGCTTCGTGGTGCATTTTGGAACAGTTATATATATGTACTTATATAATATAAATATGATAAAAATATATAAATATGTTATAAATATCATATTTATATATGATATAAATATATTTATATATGATGTAAAGATATTTATATATGATATAAATATATTTATATAGGATTTGGAGAAAATAACGGCTTGTATATCTTCAGAGTGATTCTTTTCCCTTTTGACCAAAAAAGTTGATATGGACTGTGATCCCCATGAAACGGTGCTTCACCACAGCTTAGTCAAATATTGCAGTTCAGATCTCTGGAGGTCAGAGGTCATTCAGCCATTGGATTAAGGTGTGTTGAACCAATCACACATCTAAAGCAACACAGGGTTGCTGTGTTGGCGCAGAGGCACAGCACCAACCACATGAGGAGATCTCAGACTCGATGCAGCCGTCTCAGGTTCGGTTCCCATCCTGATGACTTGTGCTGCATGTCTTACCCCCTCTCTCATTGTCCTCTTTCTTGTCTGATCACTCTCAGTTTTGGTCTTCCTTGTCTACTCTATCTCAGTTATTTAATGATATTCTTAAAATGATTGACATGGTGCCTGTAGGGTGTAATTTTTCACTAGTCAGAAGAGCAACGAAACTGTTCAATTGAGCAGTAGATGGATGAATGTTTAAACCAGTGAGGCTGTTTTTTCAATTTGTTTTATTTGAGGAAGTCTTCATCTGAAATCTCACCTCATTTCAAACGGAAGGTTACTGGTCAGCCTTCTAGTTGTTTTCGTCTCATATTGTGTCCATGTAAGACCATAGGAACCAGATGTAACGAAGTCTACAGAGCGTTGTGTCCTGGTCCCACAGTCACCGCTCTGGCAGGTTTCCTCATCAGATGAGTCGTATCTGATAAAAAAAGTGTTTTTCTGTCGAAGTTCGACCTGGAAAAGGTCAACATAAACTCTGTAGCAGATACTGCTTTATACCGAAAAACTTTCACTGTAACTGAAATGGAAACATTCATCCATCAGATGGAAACATTCATAGCTGCTAAAATTGACAAACTGTATTGTAAACAGTCTGCCTTTTCCGGGTTTGATACACATGAACATTATTCACAATTGTTGAAAACATGAGTTGCACATCCCT